ATATATAAATACTGAATATTAATCACATTTTCCACTGTACATGCTGTCATGCAATTATCAGGATTTGTAAAGTTTCAGAATATGGGACACCAGCAAATCCTAGAAGACTGAATAATTGTCAGTTGTAAGGGATGAATGGCAGAAATTTGTGATGTATGTGTGGGCTAAGGTTGATTTTTAAGATCAAAGATTATTGTCATAAATAAGTATATATATTCAATTCATGTAACCGAAATAAGCGTTTGATCTATTTTTGATACAGACCAACCGTATAGCCCGCATCTTGGCAGGTAGCAAGAAGAAGATCTGCACAAAGAAACCTCACTTTATGTCTGCCTGCGCACAACTGGTCATCGCCTTCCTACTTATTCTGCTGCAGCTTGGAATTATTGTGGCACTTCTTATCATAGAGCCACCAGAGGTATGCCGGTGTGTGTGTGTGTGTGTGTGTGTGTGTGTGTTTGTGTGTGTATGTGTGTGTGTGTGTGTGTGTTACAATGGGGAGGATGGTAATTTATGATTGTTTACACAATTGGTGTGATCTCTTTATTCTGACTTCTTAGGTGATCTTCGCTTATCCCAGTATCCGTGAGGTACATTTAATCTGCAACTTGACAACTATGGGAGTGGTGGCACCACTGGGCTACAATGGTCTGCTAATTCTCAGCTGCACCTTTTACGCCTTCAAGGTACTTCAACAAAATTGCAGTAACCTGTAATACAGTAGTTCAAGCCTGTTTTATTGAACATATATCTTTATTTTGCACTGCTTTAAGGATTTCATTCTTCTTTTTCTTCAACAGACTCGTAACGTACCGGCTAATTTTAATGAGGCAAAGTATATTGCCTTTACCATGTATACAACCTGCATAATCTGGCTGGCCTTTGTTCCAATTTACTTTGGTTCAAACTATAAGATCATAACCATGTGCTTTAGTGTCAGCCTCAGTGCCACGGTGGCTCTCTGCTGTATGTTTGTTCCCAAGGTAAGAACGAAAAATATGCAATAGTTAAAATTATCATTTGTGGAATCATACATTGTATCTACAAATATGCACCTGCATCATCTACGTATTGATTTAGACCAATAGTTACATGTTGCTCATTTTCATTGTCAGGTGTACATCATGCTTGCCAAGCCTGAGAAAAATGTGCGCAGCGCTTTCACCACTTCCACAGTTGTACGCATGCATGTAGGCGATGCCAAGAAAGCTGCAAAGACTGGGAAATCGTCCAGTAGCATGGCCAACTGGTTTCGACGGCGTGGCTCTGCACGGGACAACATAAGGTAAACTGAAGTTTGAAGAAGCTTGCAAGAGAAGACTGTTGACAAAAGATTAATGCAAACATCATCATGTCACCCCGTAGGATGGAGGATAAAATTTTTAAGCCTTAAACTTGATATTTAGTTTTTTGCTTTTATTCTTTGACGTGAGACTTTTCCATTGGGAACTGAATCTGCCAAACATTCAACTCGTAAAATAATTACTTTTAAGAGTAAAACATAGGTTTGGAGCTGTTGCGTATTAATTTTGTTTTTCATTACATAAGGTCATGTTCACCTTTTACTACAAGTGGTTATGTTGGGAAACAGTCATTTCCCAGACAAATAAGTCTCACAGAAATAAAAGCTGCTCTCAAAGTTTTGAAAGAGAAACAAAATTACACAATAAACACAATAAATCTCTACTGTAGGATGCTACATCATACCTGCCATCAAAAGCCCCCAAATATTTATCTTACATTTAGCATAAACTCAAAAGAGTGAGCTAACATGATGCCAATCTAATAGATTTCAATTATATTTGTTTTTAACCCGTACAATGTAACAAAACAGCATTATCTCTTTCACTCCCTCAGAATTGAAGAGCCACACAGATCTAAACGGACATTTACCGTAATTTCCAGACTATTGAGTGCGCCCAAATATAAGCCACACCCACTAAATAGAAAAATAATAATTTTGTACATATATAGTATAGGCCACACCTGTGTATAAGCTACGGGTGTCCACATTGTAACATGAGATATTTACATTTGCTTTTAATTAAATACGTACTGGTAACATACATAAATAGTACAGTATATATGTTTATTTCTGAACAGTGCCTATAACACGGCTATTAAAAAAATACAGTAGTCTATCATGAAGTGATTGATCGCAATCTTCACCTTTTTCCAGCACAAGCTTGTGCTGTCTTCCATCATGCAGCTGCCTTTCAAAATGGGGGGGGGGGGGGGGGAGAACAAAAAGGGGTCAAAATAAATAAATCCAGAAATTAGCCACAGCATTGTATAAGCTACAGTGTTCAAAGTGTGTGAAAAAAAAAAGCAATTTATAGTCCAGAAATTATGGTAAATTCTATGTTACCATAAACGTCATAGCAAAATGATTTGAAATCAAACATTGTCTGGCTAATATGGAGAACCACTTGGGCAGAGATTATACAATCCTTGAGGAGCAATAATAACAGAGGATACACAAGTTCAGCGAGAAGGACTAAATAGGGCAGACTACCAACTGGACACTTCCTGTTTGAATATGCTCTTGCTCTTCTTTTGCTTGTTAGGGGATGTGGATGTGTTAATGAAAGTCTCGTTGAACCATCTTTTAATTCCTGTACATATACTGAGGTGTTGAAACCACTGAAACAGGCAGTGAACGTGAAGCTAAGAAAAACTGCTCCCTAAGCTGAAAAAAGCCACCTCATTTGGGTTACATACACCCAAAGGAAACTCTCATCCTTGGAGGAATTCTCTTTCTAGGGAAGATTAAAGAACATGAAAGGAGACGTAATATTATGCATATAAGAAAAAGATAGAACAAAGAATAGCATAATTCCAATTGATTCAAAGGTATTAGAGTACTTAGGGTTCTTTCGTTTTCCTACATTAAAGTGTTTTTAATATGAATATGTGAAAATTATTATGATTGAACTAATTGTTTGAAAAAAGGGGCAGATATAATAAGATTTTTTCTTCTTGCTGTTGCCTTTCATTTTAAATCTCTTGTATTTTTTTGTATTGTTATGGAATTGTTTTGTATTTTTAAAATGAATAAACTTTATACCATAATATAGGACAACATAAAATGTATCTTAATGTCAACAAATCTGCCGTTTTTCTGCAGTTCCAATGGAAAGTCATGGGGACAGAATGAGCGCAGCTACAGGCCAAACCTGTGGAAGAGGATGTCCTTCCATGTGAAGAAAAAGGACCCTGTCGAGGTGAATCAGACAGCTATCATCAAGCCATTCTCTAAAGGAGGAGGAGCACCAGAAGACGATGTCAAAGAGCTGTATGAAGAGCCACAAATGTCTCAGTCTTACACCTACTCACCCTCTCAGTCACCTCTGCCAAACATCAGTTCACAAACATCAAAAGCAAAGGGTCTAAAGGAGAAAGAGGGTGGTGAAGAAGCACATGTTTTTCCCATGTATGTACCTGGGCACCCCTCTGCAGTCAGACAAAGAGGAGGAGACAGCAGCCAGGTTTCAGCTGTTGTAGACGGTGAGGCCATTAGCATCATCAGTGTGGGTGACATCGGCCAAACTCAGGGCACCACCATCATGGACCAAATCAGCAGCGTGGTCAATCGTTTCACTGCCAACATAAGTGAGCTGAACACTATGATGATGCCAGGAGGAGCCATCGTCAGCGCCCCCTCCACGACTGTGCTGCCTGCTGCTGCAGACACCTCCCTGTGTTCACCTCAGCATCTCAGCAAGCATGGCCCCTCCACGATCACCACGCACGCTGAGGTGACCTCGGTCTCCAGTTTCTGTGATAATAGACCGGCACCCACGATTTATGAACATCTGGCTGGGACATGTGTGAGTGGCAGACGAGCCAAGAATGCAGAGGAGCTGATGGCTCTGACACCTCCCTCCCCGTTTAGAGACTCATCTCTGAGCTCTGAGGGCAGCTCTCCTCCCTCCCTGTCTCTGGCTTCTGAGGCTGAATATAACCAACTGCTGCTCAGACACTACAGTCAGAGCTCATCTTCCCTTTAAACTTCCTTTTGTCTAAGTATTTAACCTTTAATTGAAATATTTAAGACAAACCTTTAGACATGGACTAAACCTTCTGATGCCTTTCTGCATGTGGATAGTTTGTATGTTTAAACAACTTTTGTAAAAATGATATATTTTAAATGGGACATGATTTTATTTTGAAAGGACATAGACACAAAAGCTACCAGGAGGATTTAATAAACAGTGGCCAAATTGCAAAGTAAAAGCTAAGTTATAGTAACTAGATTGCTTTTTAAATCAAGTGAAGAGTAAGTGACACACACAGCCATTTTATAGCCTTTCTAACCTTTATTTATACAGGTTAATCGCATTGAGCCTCCGGGACTCATTTACAAGAGAGACCTGATTTTAACAAAGAGTGATGACAACAGTGGATAACAAAGACAACAATAGACAATCATAAAAAGCATACAAATTGAGAAGAACAAATAAAAGACAATGGTATTATAAAACGAAACAAAAACAGCTAGATTGTAAGGCGATGTAGAAAACTAAAAACAGGAACATGTCTGCATTGGTTTTTGCCATGAACATAGCAGATGTTTAAAGCCACTTAGAGAGGTCAAGGTCGAGAGCTTCAGATCACGATATTCCAGGAAACAGGAACGGAGTAGGAGAAGGAGAAGACCCTTTAGCCTAGTTCAGTTCGCACTGAGGGAACACTGCATGTAATAACGTCCTGAGAGCACACGCTGTAGCTGCACTCACGCAGAGACATGTAGGAGGAGATGTATGAAGGCAACAAACCAAGTGATTTAAAGATGAAAATGTACCAGTGGGAGAGTCTGTGTGAAGTTAATGATGACCAGTTAACCAGTGAATACAGGGTGCAGTGATGGGTATGATAATCACAGCCAGTTATGAATCTTAGTGCACCATGACAGACAGCATCCAACATCTGCAGGGTGCTTGTTGGTGCATTCATGTAAATAATGTCACCGTAGTCAATGGAGGGAAGGAAATTCACAGTTACAAGGCATTTCCTAGCATTCAGAGTTAGACAGGATCTATTTCTGAAAAAGAAACCCAATTTAACTTTCAGTTTCTTTACCAAGTTTTACGCATGGAGCTTAAAAGAGAGATGCAAATCGACCAAGATACCCAAATATTTGTAGGAATTGACAAACTCAATGGGAGCACCATTCAAGGATAAAATCAAAGAAAGAACTGCTGGGACCGACTTCCTGTTTGAAAACAACATCCCTTTGGTTTTGTGAGTGTTTAGTACAAGTTTGAGATTGAACAATTGAGACTGGATGATGTCAAAAGCAGACTGCAAAAGCTGGAAAACCTTAGTAACTGTTTTCGCTTGACAATAAACAACTGTATCATCAGCATAGAAATGTAAGGATTCATCAGGGATGCTCTGATCTACATTATGTATGTTGATTGTAAAGAGGGTGTGTCCTAAGACTGAGCCTTGCGGTACACCATTCATACACAAATAATACTCTGCTGAAACAAAAATCACACTAACTTTAAAATCTAAACACAAGAAATGTTTTAAAAAGTTATAACTTGGAGGAAGTTTTTACAATTTTGTTTTGTTTTATTTGGTTTCCCCCCCACTGTCCAAAAACATGCCTGTTAGGTTGCACGTTAGGTCTGTGATCTCGATGAAATTTGCCTGGTTAAATAAAGGTTCTTAAATATTAAGGAATAAATAAATGTTTAGTTTTTCTTTCAATTACATTGAAATATTAAATGAAACTCAAACATGTCAGATCATAATCAAACTTAATACGGATTATTGTATCTTATGTGTTTTTTTCCATCTATTTATTGGCATAGAAAGGTCAGTTTTAATTTTTATTACTTCCTGTCATCATTCTTTATCTGATGTGATGTTTTGCTTTTGATACAACCCAAAATGTTCAAGTTGGACGGAGATCATGTCGAATTTAGGCAGTAAACAACTCCAATAGTAAATCTGACTAACTTTTCATCAGCTCGCCAAATTGTTGGCATGAGCTTTTGTGAGCTTTTGAATATTCTGTTGCTCAAGAAAAAAATGAGCAAGTACTGCAAAAGTGGCACATTTTATTTTATGTGGAGAGAGAAATCCTTTTATCCTGATGGAATACAAACTGCTTTCATTTCTGATGAATTTAAGGGACACTTTCATCAGGTACGTAATCCACCAAGAGCAACCAGGAAGTCTGCATCAGTTGTGACTTGGATGAACGTATAAAAACTTATCATTGGTAGACCAAAAAAGTAAAAAAACGTCCATCTCAGGGTGTGTAAAATGTGTTCCATGATGAGCGCTGTTATGTGGCAGCTTTGCATGATGTCAGCATTACCGTTAGTTTTTTATTTAACCATTGTAACATCAAACTTTTTTGATTGACAGATGCAGTAGCAAATGATATCAGTAGGCTAATGTTTCTTCCTGATGTTTCCTGTCTGTTTTATTTTATTTTATTTAAATATGTGCCCAAATTTTCCTGTGGTGGATTATTTTGATTTGTTTTGTTTTTTTTAAAGGTCACACTAAGAATCTAATTGCGAGCCTGTTTAAAATTACTTGACTTTTATCTGAGCATTTCATTTCACTGAGGATTCTGACTTGGTTTTGTCTCATAAAGACATTTTGGGCTCTTTGAGGATGTAGATGAACGACAGCGTTCACAAGTTTACATCATTTTGAATAATTTCAGCCAGTCTTCCTTGCATTGTACTGTAGCTACTGTATCTTGTGCTTATTTCTTTATTAGTATATTTTTAAAGTTTCGCTTTAGTATCTTTACTGTCTCTATACAAGCATGATTGTGTTCATACTCTAAATATACTATAAACATACACATGATTTATTTTGTTGCTAATTTTGAATGTAAATATTCCTAATAATTATCAGCATATTTGCATGTGTTTGCACCCAATCAAAGTTTCAGTTATCTTATGTTTTGTGCTTTAACTTGGTGATCTATACTTTTTTTCATCCTCGTTTTTAGTTTAAACCTTTTTCTCTGGTAGCTTGAATTCAACACATGGACTTTTTGCTGCACTGAAGAAACATTTAGTCTAGGGCTATTCAACTGGTGGCCCAGGGGCCAAATCAGGCCCACGGGTGAGCTCAGTCCGGCCCACCAATGGGTTCATTTTTAAATAAAACTAGATTTTAAACCATAAAACAAACTTACTAAATGACAATAACTGCTGGATGTCTGGTCCCTGAGCTCTTGGCTTTCAGTAATTATGGCACCCTGAGCAATTTAGTTGAATAGCCCTGGTTTCATCTTAAAGTAACTAATATTTCTACAGGTATTCTACTAGAAGTTGTTAATTTAAGGTGGAGCAATAGACATGTAGCTATTCTTTACTGTTATAATTCCTCTCATTATTCCAGAATTTTAAATGTAGATGAAAGGTCTTTTGGTGTATTAGAAGCAACAAAGCTAACTTTTTAAAATGTTAATTTAAATCAAAAACAAACAAAAATTATTTGTGCTTTGTTTTGATGGTAATAAATAAAAGCTGGTATTTTGGCCCATTTTTAGTCCGTGCTACTCAAGGAGCTTTTCTTAAAAGAATATGTGTCAAAATGACTGTGGATTAATTAATAAACATAATTCAAAATAAGGTTTCAGGGACACTCTTTGTTCAATTCTACAATCAAATACTATAACATTATATTTACAACTGTTCAGTGAAAATTCACCAATTCATCCCATTCACTGGATGGAGGGAAATGTTTGTTCATGTTATAGAGTATTAGGTTTTAATGAGCTCAGAGACTAAAATGATCAGTCAGTGGACAAATTTTGGTTTTATGTGATTGTTGATTCCTGTTTATAATGTTGGAAAATAACTGGAGGAAAACCAGTGGACAATGTATATTTTTATTTGACAAAGTAATCACATTCAAAGGTTATTCTTTAATTTGTATAGTTTTGTATGTGATTTTTAACAGCAATTATTTATTATCACTCATAAGACTTTCACACTGTGGAATAAAATAATCTAATATTTATTCATAAAAGTACATAACATAAAAGTTACAATGTAGTTCCAAACAGATATACTTTAATCTAAAAATTTCAGTAAAATCACCTTTGAATATTCTTTATTTTTCATTTGTAGATCTATAAATTGGTTATTGTACTTTGTAGTTTCAGGAATAGTGAATTGCTGAAATTCACAGTAAAGTAATCTTTAATGTAAAATAAAGACACAGGAAACTATGGGTTCAATGCAAGGAACCTTTTTACTGAACATAACAGAAAGTGTCCACTTACATGTGTACCTAAGCATTCTGGGAATAGTAGTCACACTACTAAGAGGGCTTGACTAATCTTAACCCCACCCACTTCATGACAAGTCATATCCAATTAAATAGCCAATTTGAAACATGACTAAATTACATTATTAAATAAATAACTTTTTCACGATAATCCAATTTTTTGAGTCACACCTGTGTGTACCTGAAGTCCTGCACCTTTATGACCTCTGCTCCTTGTAGCCTCACTGTTCCACCTGCCTCCTTCCCACTTCATGACAAGCCTTTTGAGTGCATACATGTTAATATGATATAGGTTGATTATTTTTTACAATTATTATTATGAAATCATGTGTCATGTTCATATGTTTGAACGTATTTTTCTCTACTTTGGAAGTACTCAACTTTAAGTGTCCCCACAAATCTGTATGGGCCAGAGTGAGAGTACTTTTATCAACTGAAGAGACCAGACAGTCTCGACACATGCCATGCACACCTTTGGATAAGTCCAGCTTGTCCTTGGCACCTGGTCTGTTGCCTGAAGTGTTTTTCCAGTCACTCAGTTGTTAGTTAGACGTGTTAGGTATTCTGTCTGTTTTTCCCGTCTCTCCTGATGTTTTAGCTGTCTTCGTTTACTCCAGAACAAAGAAAACAAGTTTTCTCAGCAACATTTTTGTTCAAGCTAAGTAGAAAGAAATGTTATTACAGATGATAAAACGTTTTTCACTGCAAGATTTTCTTTGGCCTCGAGGTAAGCCGGCTGAAGACTTCCTCATCAGCTGCCTTCTCACCAACTCATAGTCATAGTGACTTTAGGCTTTCTTGGGTGGTGCCCTGCATCCTGGCCTGGATTGTCATCTCCTTGTGGCAGATCCTGGTCTAATCAGCCAGCCCTCAGTAAAATGAGATACCTCTAGCCTGCACTGACATCAATGCAGTATTGAGTTTGCTTAAACATTTTACACGGATGCAGCGTCATAAATATCCTTTTCTTGTATTCAGTATTAATAAATAGCTTCATCTGGTGAAATTTATTAACACACATCTCATTCAAATTCCAAAAGTAAACTATTTTGCCAAATTTGGTCTCGTCATTGAGACACATCATGGCGGCAGACCGGTGAACTGTGTTCTGCTGGGCTCTCGTCAAAAACATGTCTTTATAATCATCCTTGCTACCTTCACACTGGATTTGCCTCTGAGATTGGGGTCGCTGCATGATTGACTCGACAGACTTGTGATATGGCCTCTAAGCGTAAAAAAAATAGAAGGCAGCGATGTCTTCGTCTGCGCGGCCTGTCGGCACAGCTGCAGCCTCAGGCCATTGTGATGGAGAAGCAGGTGGGTCTGCAGGTGTGTCGGCCCCACCTTTGCCTGGCTCTGAAGGGACAGACGAGTCGGCTATGAAGTCAGACATTCTCACTTCAATTAAGTCTGAAGTCACAACGATGATTAGGATGGAGATGAAGGTGGCTCTGACAGATGATTTTAATTTTATTAGGAGTGAATTGCAGGCATAACAAGCAGAAATTGCTAATTCCACAGCAGACCTGAGAGCGGCGTTTGACCAAATTAAACTAAGTGTTTCAGAGACTAAGAACGGACTGTCTTTATGCTCAGATGAGATAGAGGATCTGTGTGGGAAGGTGGTGGAATTAAAAAATGAAGTCCATGGGCTGAAGAAACAGCTTGACTTGGTGGGTCAAATGAAACATGACAATATTAGGATTATTGGAGTTCCTGAGTCAACGGACGTGTGCACCCCTACGGTGTTAGCGAAAATGCTAATCGAGGTGATGAGGCTGGGCAAGTTGCTGCTGATTGATCACGTGTACCAGACACTGGGCAGAAGAGGCTCGGACGGTGGATCAAGAGTTATCATAGCCAGGCTTCATTATCATCAAGACTATGTGGAGATATTACAACGAGCACACAGCAGTGGCTTGATCCACTTCAAAAAATCATCTATATTCATCACAGCAGATTACAGCCTGGGAGTCGCAAGGGCACGAGCAGTGTTCATGGAGGTGAAGTGATTCCTGCGGAATCTACCAGGTGACTGGTATGGACTTCTTCTTTATTTTATTTATTTACCCTTTATTTATACAGGTAGTCTCATTGAGTCACAAGAACTAATTTTCAAGAGAGAAATATTTTAGAGCAGATGATGGAGGTTAAGGGCCTTGATCAAGGGCCCAGAGTGGAGCAAATGAGGGCAGAGGCAGGTGTGGGCGTCCCACCTTTTCCACCCACATTTTAATGTTGTCAGTCTGGGGAGTTGAACTTGTGACTTTCCAATCACAGGCCCATCTTCTCTAACCTTCCTTAGATAGAGAACTTTAGTAATTGTTTTTTCTATGTACAAAGTATGTAAATGTTTCTGTAAAGTGCCCTGAGACAACTTTGTTGTGATTTGGCGCTATATAAATAAACTGAATTGAATTAACTTCTGTATCACCACATCCCCAAAGTGGTCTCTTTTTCCTGCACAGCTTCACGTCACACATGGAGGGACGGACAGGGCGTTTGTTGACTCTGTGGATGGAAAAGGTCAAGAGTGCGATTCTAGCAACAGGCGGCAATGTAAGGATGGCGCCATCTAGTGGGCCATCCTTGTCTGTACACCCTAGTGTGTCTCATTATTCTTGATTTGTTTCACCTTATCTGTTCCCAGCTGTTTGTAATCACATCCTGTCTTGTCTGTGTATTTAAGCCTGTCTGTGAGTCTTGTCCTTTCTCGTGTCATCAATGGGTCTACCCTGACTTGTTCTGCCAGTCTGATCCTGTCCTTGTCCCATCCTGTTTATGCTTGTGAGTTTGCTGCCACGTCAGCCTTTTGATTTATTGTTATTAAAGAATTCCTATATTGTTTTTAGTTGTTTTTTGGGGTTTTTTTTTTTTTTGAATGTCTAGAGGACCAGACATAATTTTTTTTAGATTATTAAAGAGTATTTATTTTTGTAAGTCCTTCAGTCGTGACTCTTGCCTGCAAAACTGGGTTCACTCCTGCCCTGTAAGAAACCCTGACTGGCAAAGATCAAAATAGATCAAAATAAACCATAGAACCGGTCTCCCTCAATCAACATTTTTTCTAAACTTGTGTTTGACTCAATACTTGGCTGTAAGTCCTTTGGTGGTGGTATGTACAACTTTTTATTTGTACTGGAGGGCAAGTGTATTGTTAATACTTTGAAATGATTTTCTTTATATTTTATTTTTATTTTTTGTATTGGAGGGCGATTTTACAGTGTTAACGCTCTGAATTGATTACTGTACACGTTTGATATTTACGGTAATATTTGCATATTTTGTTGTTTCTTTTTTATGTTTTTTTATTTTTTATTATTACTATTACTCATAAATTCAATGCAAGTATTATTTATAAAACTTCATACAAATAAGTTCATGCATATCCTGATGCATGCTCAATAATCCAGGTAGAAAAATCTAAAAAAGTTAAGTCAGGTCCTCTGAACGTCCAGAGGACCTGACTTAACTTTTTTAAGAAGTTCATGCATAGCCTACTTGGTGTCATATTTAATACAGAACAATGTGTTTGATGACTAGTTTTAATTGATGATCTGCTCAGAAGCCTGCTTTTTGTAACAGACTGCTTCATAACACACTGTAGTTGCATTTATATTTTGGTAGCATTGAAGTCGTAAATTAAAGATGAAGTAGCAAAAAAAGTCTCCCAGAAACTGCGCCTTCACTATCTGCACAACTTCAGTCACAAGCTTCCAAGAGAAACAAAGAGGGCGGGTCCGCAGCTCACCCAGAGGGAGACACATGGGATCACATTAGTCTCGAAACGCACGCAGCCTGTCATAGCGAGTAAAAAAATAATTGGATAAAACCGTCTTGGGAGCTCTGAAATCTACAAGGCTGGAATGACCAATCCCCTCTCCAACGGTATGCAGCCTCTCCGGAAGGAGCACTTGTACAAGGTGCTAGTTATTGGGGACCTGGGGGTCGGGAAGACCTCCATCATCCGGCGCTACGTCCATCAGACCTTCTCCTCTAACTACAGGGCAACGATTGGGGTCGACTTCGCCTTGAAAGTCTTGAACTGGGACTCAGAGACTGTCCGGCTCCAGCTGTGGGACATTGCAGGTGAATAAATTTATGTCAAATATCCATGATTTGTTTTAGAACTCATCCAGAGTGTCCAATAAAACTCAATTGGATGATGCACTGTTTCTAACTTTATAAAATACTGTAAGAACAAGGAGCAGATGAGCAGCACACTGTTTCCCAGTCTTTTCTTTTCTGTCTTTCTTTTTTCTTTAGTTACGATGTAGCATGTGATTCAGATTCACAGTTGTACTTCTGGCTGACAGAGTTTCACGAAACACATGATGTGTTTTCACGTCTTACCACTGCAATCAAGTCTTCCTTAATGTTGAAATAGTTAATTATTAAAATGAATGTCTCACAAACAGAGGTACACAGGCCGTCAAACTTTACAGTTCCTCTTGGTTTTGACATAGAGAACAACATTTTGTCCACCAAGCAAAGCTATAAAAAGATGCCTCTCATTAAGTAATATTTCTCAATCATATTTGTGCCAAAAACACTTCAGAGGCCTGTGATGATCAGATCAAGTATGCATACACATTCATTTGTAGACCAATGGAAAATTCACATTACACTGCAGAACACTGTCCCTGAGGGGACGTCCCATTGACAGCTAGCACATCATCCAGCAGCAAATTTCAATGTTCTGTGTATTACACCATTATGAATTCACAAACTCATGTATGTTCACTCAGACTACTGACAAACTGCAGGCTTATTTGGGTCTTATTACAAACACAAACAAGTTGCATTGACTGTTTTAGTGCAACGTGACAGTAAAACCTCTGGAATGTGTTACTTCGTGGAACTGCTGTCACAGCTGTCCGCAAACCCAATTACGACTGGATTAGTTGTTTTGCTGCAAAAAATGCAGGAAAACAATGAAAGTCTCTCATTATACTGATGCCTGGGTATGTTGATATAGTAACGAATGAGGCATCCTGTGCGTGTGTTCTTGCTCACCCCAGGTCAGGAACGTTTTGGGAACATGACACGAGTGTATTACCGTGAAGCCATGGGAGCTTTCATTGTGTTTGATGTAACACGACCTACGACATTCGAGGCCGTCATTAAGTGGAAGGAAGACCTGGATTCTAAAGTAATGCTGGCTGATGGACAGAGCATTGCAACAGTGCTGCTGGTTAACAAGTGTGATCAGGGCAGAGAGCTGACCAACAATGGCATCAAAATGGACCAGTTCTGCAAAGAACATGGCTTCGTTGGTTGGTTTGAGACTTCAGCTAAGGTGAGACTTCAGTGCATTTCTGGTTTTTTTTGTATGTGTCATTTTTAATGCATTTTTTTTTTCATTTTGGAAGATGAGAAGATCAATATTACCATTATACATAGAAGAATATTAATTTCACACAAAGTCTGCATTAACTTAACTTTCCACATAAGGTTAGTGAACCTATATGATTCAAAACGCCACTCCTCATGCATAAAGCTTGAAACCTGGTAAGATGAATTCTCTTCACTGCAGTTCATACAAGAGTCGACTTGCCAATTACTGAGATTCAAAAGGGGGTAAAAATGGTTTTGATTTGAGAAATTGACCAGTTTCATTTAAATGTATCATGTCCATTTCTGGAACAATGCCATGGTTAAACTCTCAGCTGACCAGTTTTATTAACATTTTATGTTTAGTTTAAAAAGATTTAAATTTGTCTATGCTGTCAAGATTTTCTTTCCATCCATCCATTATTTAGATCCACTTCTTTCTTTTCGGGTCGCAAGGGTCACTGGTGCCCATATCCAGCAGTCATTGTGTGAAAGGCGGGGATACCCTGGGGGACAATTTAGAGTTACCAATCAGCCTAACATGCATGTTCGGAGAAAACCCACGCATGCACAGAGAGAACATGCAAACTCCACCCAGAAAGGCCCCCGGACCGGGATTTGAGCCGGGGCGACCTGCTCGCTGAGAGGCAGCAGCTCTACCAACTGCACCACCGTGCTGCCCTGATTTCCAAATGCCATGCAAAATTTACTTTCATCTGAAAAGAGGACATTGGACCACTGAGTAACAGTCCAGTTAGATGCACCTGTAGATATGCAGAAAGTACTAAGAGGGTTTTTATAGCTTTAACAGAGGGCTAAGTTTGGAAATGTATGTTTGATAGTTTATGTGGATGTTAAGGCAGGCTGTGTGTGTACCCGCAGCACAGCTTGAGTTGTCTGCATGAACTATATCCCACAAGCTTTGCTCCATTCTACTCCTTCTACCTCAGCCAGTAGAGCACTGATTTCTCTATTACCACTTTCACCAATTAATTTATTTACTTGGTACTGCTGTTGGGCTTTTTCATGTGATTTATTTCATTATGGTGTGTTTCCTTACATTAACAATGGTTTAACAGTGGAAACAAAGAGCTCATTCAGAACAGTTTCCTAAACAAATGTGCAACAGGGTTTTTATTTTTTATCAGCCACTCTGTAGGCCGGGCTGTGCTAGGTCAGTAGTCAGTGCTGTGGTCTTATAATCCCAAGGCTACAAATTTAAGTCCAGGTTGCATCAGGAAGGGCAAAACCATTACCAAATATTTCAGTCAAGTTTGTTTGCTGTGGCGACCTCTGCAGCCAAAAGAACATTAGCAGCTCTGTAGGTCTTGATAGTGTGTAGTTGACATACCTGGTGACAATAGTTTCTACCTCAGGTCCCTTCAGTCATTGATAAATATCCCCATGAAGCCAAGTAGAATTGCATATGTCTTTATAGAAAATGTCTTTATAAAACTGAAGAAACAGGCCTGGCCCTAAAGGCCTGTATAACCTGGAGCTCAACTTTGGAACAAAAGTTTTTCAACAGTATACTTATGCAAATATTTCATATATAAACTTTTAATGCATACTGTCAATATTTTTTAAGTTTTTTTCATATAGATGATTTACTGAAATATTAACTTAATATTTCTTAAGTTTAGCGGAAGAGAAGGGATGGATTCCTTATAGTAAAAGAATCATACTAAAACAAAATATTCCATATGTTTTCCTCATGATATACATGGATCTTGTTAAAAACTTAAAAAGACGTAAATACAGATTTTCAATATTAACTGTATTTCTTGACCCACTTGATGTTCTGTTTTACTTTGATAGCTGAATGAATACATGTTACAGTCTGATTTAAACACCCTGTAGGACTTGGATCCACTTGTAAAGTCTGCCAGCGTTGTTTTCATTGACCCATTTTCTTCTGGCACGGATGTGTTGGAGCAGCGTATGTGTGCTGCCATTTTTATTTTGTTTTTGGTTGGGGGGCGGCATCCGAACTCAACATTCCGAAAGGTCAAAGTTTAACATGAGCATGTTTAGCCAAAGGCAGTGAGATCTTTAATTTACGAACAGATGTACTCACCATTTCCTTTGATAGCAGTGTTTACAGTGTTTAAACTAGCATTCCTTCAAAAAATGCATGTCAGTTTTAAATACAAATCTAGGAACAGGAACTTCACTTGCTGTGTAGCATCTAATGACAGCAAGGTAATTAAAACTCTATTATGTATTTAGTTAGTACTTACTTTACCCGAGGCTCAATGGGAATAACCTGTATAAATAAAGGTTGAATGAATATATGATTATTGTTTAACTTTCTCCTTTAGGACAATCTGAACATAAACGAAGCTGCAAACTTCCTGGTCAAGCACATCATGGCCACCGAGAGCAATATCCTAAAATCTGTGGTGCCTGACACCATCTCACCACAAATCTACTCCAACAATCAGATGAGCTGCTCTGCCTGCTTCAAATAATGAAAGAAAAGAAGGATGGTGGGAGTTGAAGGAGTAGAGGCCCAGCAGAACTGAGAGGGACCGCAAAGCCTTTCATGGAAATGCATTCAGTGCAGTTGGACCTCTTTGGTTTTAACCAGAGTTGAACATTTGGTTAGAGAGCTGGTTTGTTACCACCTTGAGCTCAAAGGTTGCACATTTTTTTAATGAAAGTACATTTGAGTTTTGGTAACTCTTTGTATTGTGATAGTGAAGTTTTCTGGTCAGTAACATTGAATGAAAACAGAAAGTTTTAACATGCATCTTCAGTATTTTTATACTTGCATGAATTTTCATGATTTCTTTGTGAACATTTAAAACCCACTAAACCTTTTTTTGAAACAAAACAGGCATGCTTTTTTAATACATGTACTCTTCTGCACATGCCAAAGAGAGCATTGTAGATCAGTCTTGGTAAAGCAAAGGAATAGCTAACTATGACTACTCTGCATGATCTTAAAAAAACAACAACATTTAACTAATTTGTAATGTACTTTTCAAATGTATGATGTGATTTTGCAGTGTGAACTTCAAAATCCAACTGTGTAAAAATGTTTTAAATATGAAAGAAAAAAATCTATTTTGGGTGGTTTGCAATAACCTTTCATGAAATTGACATCTACTTAGCAGATTAAAAATGAGAATGCATGTGACAATTTTAAACCACTGCATGGAGTTTTATATATCTTGTAGTCATATTCTGAACACTCCAGTGTTCATCTGCCAAAACCTTAGTATCCATGGTAACAGGAGTCATTTTACGGGTAAGCTTTAACATCTATGTGAAGCTATTTCTTGTTGTTCCAAGCTAAAGCTGCTTTGTGTTCTTTCTAAAACTCAGCTACCTGTTGTTTTGCTAGGTTTCCTCTCAATAGTATTGTATGTGAAAGTGTATTTTTGTGTGTAACACTCAACCTCTGTTCCTCACATACATACGCCTTATTTATTATAAGTTGTTCTAACCTTATCGTAATACCTTTTCAGTCTGTAAAGGTACTATATACCAAAGCAGACTAAAAGAGTGTGTACATGTATACTTATGTTTACTAGCCTACAGAATATTATGTTGTTTCTTCAAGTTTGCACATTGTTAAAAAGCCTATTAAAGCAGTTCTGTGATATCCTTGTTGGTTATTTTACATCATGTGCATGTCAGTTTTAAGGAATGCGGTCTCTGCAGGACAGTTGCACAGCATGGAGGTGTGTGACTGATGCATCATGTGATATCAGAGCTGTGTCACACTATATAAAGTTCAGGATATCACTTTGCGAGGAAGTATTTCATTTTGTGTTCCCATTCAAACAACAAGAAAAGCCTGTGAGAGTGCTTAAGGGTTGTCCCTGAATATTAGTTAGTGTGAGGTAGTCAAGCAAGAAAACCAATTAAAACACAATTGATCTTGCATTTTCTGATTTTGGAACTCAGCCCTAAATCAGTTATGGCACTGGTAATATTTTCATGTAATTTAACATGAAAATAAATGTTTTTACTTTGGATCTTCACACAAATCACAAAGAGTCAATGAATCAGTCACCACATTTCATTAGTTCAGACTGAGAAATAAGTGTGTTTGTGTGGGTCTGTTTAGGATGATTCAGGACTTGCAGGTTCTCATTAGTTGGGCATATGACGGGATTGTATTCAGCACAAGGACTCGGATTTAGTTATCTGCTTTTGGCTCTGGTAAAAACATTCTGTGACCCTGCCAGTCTGTGCATATGAGGCATGCAAAGGTATAAATGAGCTAAAAAAGGGTTAGTCATTTAGCAAAATGCTTATAGCTCCCATTTTGCTTAATGTATTTTTCACCGTACACGTCGCACCGCCGTATAAGTTGCATCAGTCCAAATATGTCTACCAAAGTAGAAAAAACATAAATATGTCGCTTCGCTGTATAAGTCGCATCTATTATGCGTCACCACTGATGCGTTGCATTTGTTACACGTCACCACTGGCAACCCAGAAATGTGGGCCGGTGTGCCAAAAATCGATTGGCTGCCAAATGGCGGTCACAGGAGTGTGTACAGGAGGTCTTTAACATGAATTTAACAAGATTGACACTTAAAAACAATTATTTGTTTGCTTGAAATTATAGCAAAGGTGAGTCTCAGTCTAACTTTTCCTTAATAAATGCACCTTGACGTTCAAATCAGCTGTATTTCAAAAGCTGATTCCCGGAAGCGGGAGTGCACAGAGGGACGATTCACTGTGCATTTCTTCAAAATTTAACAAGATAACCACCTAAAAACAATTATATGTTTGCTTGAAATTATAGCAAAGTTGTGTCTCAGTTGAACTTTTCCTTAATAAATGCACTTTAACTGTCAAATCAGCTGCATTTCAAATGTATTCAATGCCTCTGTGCTCTGGGAGAATCAGAATCAGAATAAGCTTTATTATCATTGCCCCGAGATACAACAAGAACATGTACGTAAAGTCATTCGAAAGATGGACGGAGTGCACGAAGCTGCTGCTATAAGCGCGGCCTTCTTATCTTTATTCAGAATAATACTTTTAGATAGGAAAGAGGGAAGAGCCATGAGGATAGATAGTGCTATTTCAAAAAATATCTTTCGCATCTTCTCATATCAGGACACAATTTGAAACATCAAAAAACCTCTACCAGCAAGCACATTTAAGAACATGATTATATGCATTTGACGTCAAGGTGTTGAGATTAATCCATGAGCATTAGATTAAGCTTTTATTCCTGGTTACCCATGACCTAGGAGAAATTTGATAGTCCGCCCATCTCCGAGGCCAACAGGGAGTCAGATTCAGATAAGCTTTGATTGTTGATTTTATTCAGGCAGACGGAATTTTTTCATCAGCCTTGAGTCCTTCTGGAACTTTCTGGTTTGAAAGGGCCTGATTATGGGATTCCATTCCACTGATCCATGTTATGCGCCTCCTTCAAGGTTGCTCCCACCACGTTGGCGAGTCCCAGAATCCGCAGGTGGCCTGCAATTCTTATAAATCGCCTCCACCTTACAGTTTAGCTCGTAAATCAGTTGATTTTGTGTACTCACAGCATGAACCAAATCTTCACACAGACTCAGAAGCTTTGTCATGGCCGAAACTGCTGCCGATGTCTTCTTCAAAAGTCGATAAAACAGAGCCCCGCCATTGCCAAAAAGCAGAGTCCCTGCTATCATAAATCCAAATATGTAAATGTCTTCAGCGTCCTCCTGAGACAGAACTTGAGAGGCACATCAACTGCCACACTCCCCATGGGTCCATGACATACCCCACAGCATGGGTCTCAACTGGACAAGCAGGTTCTCCCGGACCCTGTCGTTTTGTTGAAAAAATGTTGTAGATTGCATTGAAAGTCCAGGTCACCAGATCCACAATCTTAATTTATGTTTGGGAGAAGTGTACCAGGTACTTCAGACACACAGAAAGTGAAGCTGGAGGAAGGAAAAACGGGGGAGGAAAAGCAGAAGCAGCCACCTCGAGTGGGAGCCAGACAGAAAAAAGCACGCAGAGGAAGGAAATCAGGAAGGAGGAACATTGCGCATTTCTTCAAAATTTAACAAGATGCACCTAAAACAATTATTTGTTTGCTCGACTTTATAGCAAAGTTGTGTCTCAGTTGAAGTTTTACTTAATAAATGCACTTGAATGGTCAAATTAGCTGCATTTCGCCGGGGCAGATCAGCAAAATGAAGCTGATTTGACCTTTGCCTAAAGCATGATCCCGGAGCTGGACAAAGGTGGCAGACTTTGGCAAGCATGCTATACTACTTGAGTGCCATCTAGTGGCTGAAAATGATACTGTTCAATATTTTCAATGTCAGAATGAATGAAAATGGTCATATCTCAGTCAAAAATTTGGTTATAAATATGGGGGGGGGACATAAATAAGTTGCTTCAGCGTATAAGTCACAGGGTATGCAAATTAGGCAAAAAGGTGTGACTTATATGCTGGAAAATACGGTAGTTAAATGGGAATCCAATGGGCATGGGCATGAATTTCCATTTTTGTTGCTTCATCTGACCAGATGGGCAAGCCCGGTACAATTCCCAGCTGCATCACTTATGGTGCACTGGCCTCAAATGGGGACCACTTTGGTGCAACAAATAAATGGTGAAATAGGTGTCCTGCAAGCATAAAGCATAAACCTGATGCGAATCCTTGCAAATAGTTACCATTAAGCTAATGTGAAACCAACAGACAACCCCAAAATCAGCCTACTTTTGTTGTCTGACATTTATCGGGCAGAAACTAATGACTTCATAAATTAAGAATATCAGTGGACTAAAAGGAAAATTTGTCATTTAACATTTCAAATGATTAAAATGTTAGAATGGGCATTAAATAAGATAAGGTAGAAATTTGTTGAACTTTGAAATGCGGTTTTGGATAAATAACATTTCAAAAATGTTGGTTCATTAGCTTGTTAACAGCAGGCACAGATTTAAATATGTATTACTAGGATTATGAGCACAGTATATCCTGTCACTGTGCTTCTGCCAGAGAACCACCTACTGCAAGCCCTCACAAAAACAGGAAGGAGCAGAATTTGAGTGTAACAAGCAGCGTTATAAAAAAAAGAGGATCTGAATATTTGTCATAACAGAACCGAAATAATGGCAAGGATGGTCACACAGTCAACTATTTTTTTTTAAATCACACAGATAAAGAATAAATACTTTCTATTATGTCTGACAATACACAACCACAAGGAAATCAACTGATTTTATGTAGGATGTTACATATTTCATGGAAAAGTGCTCAGAAAAAGAATGAAATGAGATGAACTGATATACTGGTTTTCTCCCTTTTCTTTGAGAGATCCTTGTTTTAACGTCAGGAAACATGTTCATGTGGAGCCATCTGTTGTAAAGTTAAACTAACTGCATTTTATTAACAGCAAATAAATCTAACAATATTAGTCTCAAGGATTTACAGTCATATATGGTGTAAGACTCTCTCACTGAATGCCTTAAAAATACTTACAAAGGAACACCTTGTTGGCTTGTAGGGCATCATATGTCAACACGAAGGCGAGTGCAGCCACTCAAGAAAAACTGGATTTTAAACTCAGTCACATGCTTCCTCATGCCAAAGACCTCTCTTATCAGGGTGACTTTTTCATCGTGGGAAGAAAAGATTCACAGTGCCCAATGAGTTTATATCGTCTGGTTGACCTTTGAGCCCTCTGATCTCTCTTTACTGAGCAGGACATAATTAGGGTGTGAGAATGGCCAGCTTTTATAGATTAGAAACACGCTCTAAAAAGAAATGCTTCAAGAAAGAGTGAGAGAGGAGAGGAAATAAAAAGAAAATGGAAGTTCAAAACTTAAACACAACTTCAGAGTAAACTTGAAAGACACAAAAACTCTGGAGGAAGTTGAATAGCTAAATTAAATCCTGAATCCAGTTTAAAGGATAAATCCTTGGAAGACATTTTAGTAATCACTCATCTTGAGCACTGACTCATATTATTTACATCTGATTATGGTTCAAAGTGGTTCTGTTCAACCATGATGTCATCACTTCTGGAGGCCACAAACGTTGAGTAATTTCATAATTGTTTGTTTGGGTCAATGTTTATGAGCGTTCCTCTTTTTGTTTTTCTTTTGTCTTTTAATTTTTGTTCATTTCTGACCAAGACATTCTGCATAAACATTGGGAGGAAAGAATAGAACTGGAGGAGAAAACCATTTGTGGTGTAGTATAATAAAGTATTTTTAGGGATATAGTATGTGGGTGATGCATTTTTATGGAGTAGTTTATAGTGTACAGTACTACTTTGAAGTTTAGTTGTTAGTGAGTACAGGATACTCATCACTCAACCACTAGAGGGTGACAAGTATAGTTACAATCAAGTACTAAAAGTTTATGTACTGTCATTTTCTCATAAGAATAAAAACTCAAACTACGGTGTATTTATATATATATATATATATATATATATATATATATATATATATATATATATATGTGTGTAAACAATGAAGGTTTGAGCCTGTTCACAACAACATCATTCATATGAAATACAAAAACTTTGTGATCTTATGGGATGACTTTTACAAGTGAAAATAATCATGTACAAAGTTGACAGCAAATGTTGATCGCATAAATCATAGGACAGGTTATAAAGCTATGATTGGAATGCCTGAAGCATACAGAAATAAATTTCAGGAGCAGGGAGCAACAAAACAGAAATGTAAGTCTGTTCAACATAATCAGTGAGTTCTGCATACATTTACATGTACCTAGGCAGTTGAAACAGAAACAGAAATCTTCAAAACGACACAAAAAGGGAAGACTTTTTCCCTGAAATCTTGGCAAAAAGCTAATCTTTTGGAGTCTTTTTCACATTTTAGAAACTGGAATGAAGGTAGATTTATGAGGTCGGTTTAGGTGAGTCATAGCTTCGAAAGATTTGTGTTCTTAAAAAAAGAGCTCTGTCATTTTGGTTAGCTGAAGCACAAAAACCACAATGACAACCAGAAAACTGAGAGTCAAACAGTCCGTAAGGTAAACATGGCACACAATGTCAAGTCTTTTCATTAAGCTGTGTAGTTTTGGTGCTAAATGTATACATGGATTAAAACAAAACCACCACTGTCTGCACAACAATGTATTCCCCTTTTTATGCCTGAGCTGTATCAAACACTATACCAAGCCTAATAAAAGTATATGGTTGTAAAGTTTTTGGTAATCCTGAGGTAACATTTACAAACAAAAAGTAGATTTACCTTTGATTGATTATTAAAGTTCACAAAAATCTTAAGGCAAGGAGTCAACTATTATCTGCATGCACACTGAGTTGTTTTTCTCTTCAATCAATTAATCAGGTGAAAAACAATTACTGCAGAAACCTGTTAGAAAATTATTTTAGGCAAAAAAAATAAAACGATTGCTTTGCCATGATAAATAAATTATTGTATTTGCATTTTTTTTTTCTGAGTCAAGAAAAATGCAAGTTGGAAAAAATGAATGAAGAATTTGTTATTTACAGTAATCTTGTAAATGCATTGTCTCCGTACAATAACAAGTATTATACTCAGGCACACTTGGGCTGGAACAAATCTTAAAGTACTTGTACACTGAATGATAAAGAGCACAGCACAGTTTTTAGTCAATACAACCTCAAGCAGCTTGAGTTCGGCTGCAGAACTACAGTGCATATTGTCCTGTCATTGTGTCTTTGTTTGAACCAGATGGATCTGCTTTGGAGGTGACAAGACCTGCAGAACATGGCAAGAGAGATGGATGAAGTGGGAATCCATGTTGGGACAGAAGTGCATCTAAGTGGGGGAAGAAAGAGGTCAGAGGGCAGTCTGAGGAGATGTATTTGGTTAACACCTGCAGCTGATCTGGTTGCAGATTTGCTTCTCTGCAGACCCGCTGACACAAGGTGCTGACACTGTGGCAAGTTTTCGACTTCATCTGACTCAGCTGGTTCTTCTCCATGATCAAGTTCTCCTTTTCAGTTTTCTGTAACAAACCCAGTGGGATTAGTGCAAGCATTAAAAAGAAGAAAAATCTTTGCTCAGATGAAACAATGCAAAAGTACTTACGAGCTTGTTGATTTCACACTGCAGGTCAAATATGCAGTCTAGTTTTCTCTTGCGGCAGCGTTGAGCCGCCAGGCGGTTTTTGCTGCGCCGCCTCATGTCGTGGACAAAATCGAGCTGTTCTCGTGTAAAGGCATGCTGCTTCAGTAGATGCTGGAAGTCATTTCGACTCAGATTCACTATCCAGTTCACTGGGTACGGCAACTGCACCTGAAGAAATTAGCAGCAGGAAATGAAGGTTATGCGAACAGCATGAGAGGGAAAGCAACTGCATAAAGACTTGGCGAGTTTCACTGGTCTAATGTCAAGATCTTAGTAATGTGGTTTAATACACACCCACCTCCTTTATGAATGCAAATTATGTGTGATATTTGCTTTTTTTGCATGAATATTTGTGCAGTTCACAATGTCATTTAAATTATTCTAAGGAGATAATTTATTAAAACAAAATTCAGTAACTATCTAAATGATCTGAATTGAAACTGAATTGTGTATAAGTATCCTGTGAATGTATGGAAATTTGTGAACCGCCAAAAGTTAACTTTTTCCCAACAAGCTGGCAATTATTAACTTTAAGAAAGTGCAAATGTGCAGCAGGAAAGGTCCTCTCACCAGTTTAATTGTGCGACATAAATCTGTAAAAGGTTGTAACTCGCTGAGTTAAATTAAATTAAATGGGTTTCTTACCTATAAAATGACCTTAGCTCTGCCCTTTATCTGCTGTTTTGCACTAATCCAACAGAACACAAACTTGGATAAAACACAATAGATTTCTGAGGCTGTGCTTTGAGCCATCATAACTAACTCAACAAGCTGAGCTGTGAATTTTGACTGAATTGGACTCTGAACCACTGAGCAGACATATCTCCACCAGGTGAATATTTAACTTTGGCAAATTTACTTTACATGAATGCAGATTCTCATTTGTCTGATAAAATGTGTCTATGTAACTCTTACTTAAAAGAAACATATTGAGATAGTGGATGTGTAAGTGCCTTTTTGAAGATTGTCTTTTTTCTGTTTATTAATTGAAGATTGTAGAGCTAACAAAACAAAACAAACAAAAAAGATTTACTTCATAGTTGATGTTCTCACCTGTCTGGCTCTTTCTCTTGTGATGAACTCACAGTCCCCCTCTGTTTCTGTCTCCGAGTCTCCATCCTCCCCTGAGTTCAAAGATGACACACCTGACTGAGAACCCACTTCACACTCAGACATCCCCGCTGCCATTAACGAGCAGCTCCCTTGCTCCGTATCCAGGAAAAAGGGGCAGCTGTTTTTTGTGGAACGGAAGTTGTCCAGAAGGTTTGGATACTCTAAAGATGGGCTCTGCTCCCATTCACCAACAGTATCAGTGGAACATTGCACCTCAAGGTCCTGGAAGTTGTGCCAAGAAGTGTTTCTTTCTCTGAGTTTTTCAGCGATAATGGCTACTCTTTCCATGTTGCCTGTTTGGCTTCCATTTCCTCCATCTTGGCAGACACTATGTGTCTTTTCCCCTTCAGCTCCTAATGGCTCCTTTTGATTATCAGAACCTGGATCTGCTGCACCAGAGTTTCTTGCTTCCTGGGTTTCTGTAATGTTGACAATCGTCTCATTCCCCAGTGACCTATAGATAGTATGGCCATCACTGAAGTTGCTCAAAGGGCAACATGGTGATAATACCTCTAATGGATTCTCAGCCAACTTTGGGTTTGGTTCTAAGGCAACTATATTGACACTAAGAGTATCTGAAGAGCTTATTCCAGAGGTTTGCTCCATCATCTTTTTAACATTGTTCTCTGATGCGTATTCATTCATTTTTTCCCCTCTTTCAAGTGTGTTTTTCATATCACTATCAGCACCCCATGTGGCGCCATAAGTCTCCGATGGTATTGAATGAACCTCAGTTTCTTGTGCTTCTCTGGCATCTTCTTTTATCGTTTTGTCAGACTTTGAATTTCCAAAGACTGCCACTTTGATTTTACACTGTGCGCTGCTGGGACACGGAAAGCAAGAGACGAAGCAGCCATCTTCAATCACCGTCTTCACCGGACCAGTTGGACTTTTCTCAGTGATGAGTTCCTTCTGGCAGGCTTGCTGGAACTTGCGATACTTTGGACACTGTTGGAAAATACCATCTATGTCTTCAACTGCTGTCCCAAGAGACTTTGCATTTTTAAGAGTTCCTGTTTTCTTGCTCACTGATTTGCTGCAGTCCCTAGTCACGTCCTGCCGAGATGATGAGTCAGCAACTGGTTTTACTTCTTTGTCATTCAACAGCACTTCTTCAGGGACTGTGCCTCCATTTTCCACGGATAATCGCCTCTTGCATGTCTTTTTACAACAGGTCTTTCTCACAAAAGGACAAGAGTCTTTGTTACTGGAAAAGAACCTTGGTAGGAGGAAGTCAAAACATGCCTCGTCTAGGTCTCTAAAGCCAAGAATGGAGGCCGAGTTTTGGATTTCTAACACGTCTTCTTTCCCAAAATGTAGCTTAGAGGTGTAGGCAAATTTCAGCAAGGGCTCAAAGCCAACAACTGTCACCTGTTAAAAATGACAAACGAGACACATGAGCACTTTTTTAAATCATGTTCTTTGGCTCACGGTGACTATATTCATTATATTAAGTGTTCAGAATGTTTAATTTAGTTAGTTGTGTGAATTATGGGAGTTTACAAGCAGATGGTTGACCAGTAACATAAAAACACCACTTGTCTCAGCACTTGTTGCTCAGGAAATTAACTTTGTACCGGTAGTTACTGTTCTCACTTCATTTTCCAACACAAGAGTGGTTGTGAGGAAGCAAAGCTTGTGCATAGCTACTCTCCATCGTGAGGCAACGTCTCACCTCTTCTGGCAGGGTGATGATTGCACTGTGCTGCGTGAGGGAAGAGGTCCTTTGGGCAAAGTACTCGCTGCAGGAGGCGAGGACTGAGCGGTGGGCTCGGAAACTCTGGGTCTCCACCACCACGGTAACATCGCACAGCGAGTCTCGGCATCGCTGCTCGTCCAGCCACTGCAGCACATGAGAGGAATGTACTGTGGACTCGAACGTAAACACAGACGACCTCGGGGCAGACATCTGAGCCATCTATGCGCACACAAAAACATTCACACCCACCTGTTAAACAACCCCTTTCTGTCACAAATAATACAAATATACTTTTAGCTTATAAAACAAAAATGTTCCTACCTTACAAAGCTGACTTTGCTCACGTCTCCTTGAGTGTCAAGGAAAGTTCCTGCTGCCTTTGGACATAGATGTTGCTTAATGGAATGCTGTCCAACCGGGCTGTTTCTCAGAAAGTCTTATCTCAACTAAGCTACAAACTAAAAATTGAGCTTGACTCAGTCATATGGCCTGCGAGTGCATCTGAGAGGGGAGGGCAGGCATTCAGAGAGACTGTGTATGTGTTGTAACAACCATGGGTGTAACAAAGCAGCGCTGACTCATGCACTCTGACTGAGAAAGGATGAGTAAGCAGTTTTTTTTACAATCCTGTCCAATCCCACCCTTGGATCTGTCTGGTAAACTAACAGGCTTTTTCCAGGGAAATCCCTTCTACACACATTAGAAGGAATTAAGGTAAAGGCGGGGGCTTTAAAGTGTGTGTTTAAGCATAATGTTGGCTCTTGTTTATGTCTTTAATTTTGAGTAGTCAGTATTTATCTGGGCAAATAGAGATTTTGGAGAACGTGTAAAAAGGTCAACATTTTGCATTGACATGTTGCAGGAAGTTGTGTTATTGTGCAGTTTAAAATGTATCATTAGTCGTGTTGCTTAAATTCCCAAAGTTACGTCAACTGTGTTATAGCTTATGACGTTTGATTCATAAAAAGAACGACAAATGCCACTTTATGTAAAATAAATGTGGCACAAAGATATGCTTCCATTAAAAGTAAAGCAGGTTTAACAGAATAAGCTGGAAAAAAAAAAGCATTACTAAATTAAGTTGCCTGAGTCACATGATTTGGAAGAAGGAAGCTGGTCAAACTGGCCAATCAGGTGATGGTTTCATAATTCCAGAATGAACTAAAATGGATGTTAAAAAAAAACCATTATCTATTTCCTTTTTCTGTGTAAGGCCAACAGAGACCTCAACCAAACAGTGTTGACTCAGAGAAATGAAACTAAGGAAGTGATGCGGTTACAATAAAATGCCATTTTATTATTAGAAGAGGACAATAAGCTGATCTTGTTGTATACTTCCCTGTCTACAGGTCAACACAACACAACAAACACCCCTAATCCAAAAATATTATCAGTACTACTACTACTACTAATACTACTACTAATAATAATATACAACTATTCCAGTGTTGTTTTGCAGCAGATATTGTGAAACAGATCATCACACTTCTGTATTCTCATTCATTTTAAACAATTATAGTTACTACATCTCTGACGCTGTTTTGAATATCCTTTCAGCACTTCTTAAAATACAACTTTGGGACCATATAGCACCATCTTGGGCTCCCCCAGGTTAAAAGATTTGACCTGAGACTGAGTTAGGAAAATCAGGTCACTGAACCCACATGTAAGGCAAATCTGAGCAGAAACTTTGGGCAAGGTTCCCAACAGAACAGCACCCAGAAAACAGCATCATGTCATAATAAGCGTTCACAAGTCAGTGGCTCATGAAATGAATCAGACTATGAACAAACACAGCTCCTTTATGTGTAATTAGCTGATTCACACTGTACAGAGGGCTCTTTTATTTCTGGTGGCTGGCCTAGTGTCACCTGGAAGTCTGGTGGTCTCTGGTTTGGAGAGGTCAGAGGTCATAAGGAGTCTTGCCTTGTTCGATCAGTCCGGCAGAGTCTGTCCAGCTGCTGAGTGCGCTCTCTGTGAACCATCACCAAAGCGCGGTTCTCTTCTGTCAGGCGTCGAAACTCCTCTTCCAGGCGGACGATTTCCATGGCAACCTTCTCATCCTCAACCCGCTCTGCCAGCAGCTTACGTCTAAATGAATGAGGAAAGCAAATGTTCAAAACATGTTTTTTGTATGTATTAGTAAACTGTTTCAGGATACATTTTGTGCTTTGTTTTATTTAGAGCAATCAAAGAAAGGGTTTCTGTTTAAAGGAGGTACATTTTCCAGATGATCATTCACACATTTTGGAGCGTGAAGGTGTTTGTTGAAATGTGCAGATTCCCTTTAAATATAGATGTGGATTAACAATGATGGTCACCAGAGGCCCACAAAGCTAAAATCTGCAGAGTAACATAATAATACACTATGTAAGAAGAACAAAAATACAGATTTAGAAGACTATTTACAAATTAAACAGGAATCAAATGTGTTGATGCTGAAGGTTAACAAAAGGTCCTGATCTTCCATCCTGTTACGATCTTAAACTACCTTGCTGTCTTTTTTTGCACTTAATGTTTATTTCTGTTTAAAATGATCTTTAAAACTACAAATTAGTTCACATTTTAAACTAATTGGCATGTCAGGCATGCTCCTCCAACCACTCAATCACACACTGAGACAAGGTGGACAAAAATGACTAAGAACAAACTAAGAACAAAACTTGTTGGCAGCATTAAAAAAAAAAAAAGAAAGAAAAACTCTTATATCTCAAATTGTCAAAATGTTCATGAAAATAGTTTATTTTTTAAATGTTTACCCTGCATTCAATTTTTTTACCATATTGTTGTTCTGGTAGAAATATTAAATTCCTGTTGGAACTGTCCAAGATTGCATGGGAAATGCTACAGCTAGCTGCTGATGTTTGTATGAGAATAATTTAATTCAAAAGATTTAAGCTACGGTACCTCTTCAAATATCCAGATGAAGTGAAACTTACCTTAAAATGATGGTTTATCTAGAAAAAAAAGAACTAATTTTATTTTACAGTCCTGATTTTAGAGGTATTTGCATTTATTTTCATGCATGTGCATCATGTGGTCATATGTTTGAGAATGTTTCGGCTAGTGTGATGTTAAGTCATGGACCAGCAGCATCTCCCAGAAAGGAAATAACGATTGTGTTGCATGTGGAATTTAAAAGACATATTATCTGTAAGTGTCCCTCTCATTCCCTACTCTGTTTAAAAACATAAATGACTTACACTTAAAAAACCAAAATGTCCTGAAAATATTTGTATTAAACTTTTGAAATCCTGTTGAGGCAGTTAGTGCATTAAAGTTTCTGTGAGTAAGAAAACCAAGCAGGAGACATTTGGACATAACGTTTGATCCACTCTGAGAAGGTGCTATTTAAAAGACTGAGCTGAATACAGCACCTCAGACTGAAGAAGTCTCTTGGACGAGAGACGAAACGTTTCTACATTTTTTGTTGTTTTGCTTTGTTTTGGTGTTTTTTTTGAATGTCCAGAGGACCAGATTTAACTTTTTTAGATAACGTTTGATTGTTTTACACACAAAAAAATTCCAAATAATCAAAACACTGATGATTGAGCCGGCTCAACATTAACCACAAATTATCCTTTTGCTTTCGGTTTTGACTATTCACTTACTGTGATGCCTTAATTCACAATAAATTGTTTTAAGGTTGCACGTTGCTTTAAGTTGTAAATTACTGCTGTTTTCACAACCCCAGATTGCTGGATATAACAGCTATTTAATGTTCAATACTTTAATGCCGTCTGGTTTTTTCTGGAGTTACAAATAAGCTAATATATGTGCATGTGCATGCATGTAGGTGTGCGAAAGTGAGTGCATTTTTTAGTCACACGGGGAATATTTAAAACCCAGTAAAGATTTGTTTAAAAACATATTTAGACATAAAGTAATGCTCATAAACCTTCTAGGAAAAAATTTACTTTCTTTAATAAAAACAGCACTTTAAACAGAAGTGTGGATTTTTTTTTTTGTTGTTGTTGTTGTTGTCTCCAGGGACCACTTGTTTTAAATTAAATAATGAGCATTTCCTGGAGGAATGCATATTGACCATCTTTTATGACTGACTGTAAGACTAAAATCATCTTGTTATGAAATGACGGAGTCATAACCATTTTGATTAAACCATAAAAATAACATTATGTGCAATATGAGAATATTGTAATATCTTGCGTGATCTTCCTTGGTTTTTTAGAGCTTGACATGCATGTTGTAATTGACTCAGCTACTACCATACCAAATTTTAGCACAATGACTGTATAATTCACTGATATATAGCAATTTTTGTGGTGACCTGTCACAACAAAATTTTGCTGGGTGATTAATTGTCTCCGAAATGATTGCGATAAATGATAATATTGTTTGAAATTTGACAATAATTAGTAATTATTTTTAAATTTAAGAAGAAATGTTGGTTAATTTGTTTTGAGTGTAGTACCTCTTTTGACCACCAGATGGCAGTATAAGACTATTTGAACCGAAGGATGGATAGTGAGGGCACGAGCAGCGTGTCTCTAAGAAAAATGGAGGGAGGCCCCTTGACGTGACATGGGCTCTCTCTCTCTTTCCTCTTCTTCAATTCTCAAAATGGCAGATGCTCAGTGTGATTTGAGCTCTTTAGCATAGCATTTTTCACACAAAGCTTTTAAGAAAAAAAAATCAGTAAACAAGTTCTCAGCTTCTTTTTGCAGAGAAAAACAACTTTTTACACGAAGGCAGCCGTGAGTTTTGAAGCTTCAACAAGACGGAGTTTATTTTTTGAGGTCGGCCTGTTAGCTTAGCTCGTAGCTTAGCTTCTCAGCTTAGCTGCTTTTAACGATTCAAAAACACGATTTTGGACAGTTAAAACAAATTTTACAGAGAAAAGAGAAAGGGAGGAGTCAGTGAAGAGCACCGGAGTTGAGCTTTTTTTCATCCAGTGTCTTCAGTAGAAAGAGAGACACGAAGAAACGATAAAGCCGATAAATGAAAATGAGGTCAATAATTTTCATTTAGCATGCGATTAATTCATTTATTGTTTACTGCGACAGTGACCATCTTGAGTTATATAAATCTAAAAGTTAATCTTATTGTTAAAGTTAAATGCACAACCGTTAATAAGCTTCTGGGATTTTTCAATTGAATCTGTTTAGTGATTTATGAGATATTTTGCTTACAGGCACACATGGTTGACTCCAAAAATTAATACCAAGGTTTCAAGCAACTATGTTGGGCAGTGTGTTGTGTTCAAATTATGTGTTTGGGATGACGCTTTGCTAAAGCACAATAATTTCTCACTCAATATCTGAGCATTTTTGGTAACATCAAGGTAAGTTTGTTGTGGCGGCCATTTTTTTATTGAATTAGGTACAACAGGTAAGCAGTTGTAGAAGTCAACTTAATCAGAGTCAGAGTCAGAGTTTCTTTATTGTCATTCGCACCTCATGTGGTACATGTGGTGGAGCGAAATTATGTACACAGGGTCCCAGTTACATCCAACAATAAAATGTATAAGAAAAACAGTAATAACATCTAAGATATGAACTAAGAAAAACATCAACTAAATATACACTAAGCACTCATAACATAAAACATTGAACATCAGCACAAACATGAACATGAGTCTGTGAGCAGATGTGCACGCATGAACACATCAACATTGAAACAGATCAGCAGCAACATGAAACAGATCAGCAGCAACATGATATGGTTTTACACAGTGATTATTCTAGTTAGAGATTCATGAGTCTAACAGCCTCAGGGTAGAAGCTGTTCCTCAGTCTAGTGGTTCTACACTTAATGCTCCTTAACCTCCTTCCTGAGGGGAGTGGGGCAAAAAGTGTGTGTGCTGGGTGGGTGGGGTCCTTCATGATGCAGGTGGCCCTCTTCCTGCATCTGGAGGTGTAGATGTCTGTGATGGTGGGGAGACTGATTCCAACAGATTTCTGTGCAGCCTTCACCACAGAAGTTAATGATTCATATTTGAAAGTTTCTTTAACATCTATTTGGTGCTTTATGAAACATTTTGCCATCAGTACAGACAAGCACATGTAGAGTGACAAAAACATTTTCATTCCACTTTCACCTTTCTGTAAATGGTGATAAAAATGTAATTCAACTGGATTACATTAGTTGTTGTTCAAGGTCTTTAAAAAAATTATACACAATACTTCACTTTGGCAAACTTTATGTAGTGAAAACTTAAATCCTTCATTGTTCCTGTCTCCAGATAGATAAAAGCAGAAAACATTTAGAAATATCACTTTTCTTTGAGTAGAGAGCTAATCTTTCAACATTTCTTTGTGTGGAAAATGACAGAAGTAAGGAATTATTTAAATATAAATGGTTATGACCAACAGCAACAGTTTCAGCTTTTATTAAAAATAAGCTTTTTTTTTAATCGGAAAAATCTTCTACAGTGTTCTCAGTCAGTGTGTTGTGCTGCTTCTGTTTGTGTGTTGTGTTTCACGTGTCTGTCTTTCTGTGTGTAGGTGGATCTTAGCTAGAAGAACCAGTAATGTGAAGCAGCCTGACTCATCATGTTTTTTATTTTAATCCAAGGCCACGATCATGGCATCACATTCTTCCTGCTGTTCTCTATTTAGAAACTTTGATGTAGTGTAGGCTGTCTGTGTATGTGTGTGCGTGTGTGATGGTGTGTGTGTGTGTGTGTTGGAGCCTTGAAAAATACCCCCCAATGACAAAACTACCTGCAGCTGCTCAGGACACAGAGGACAATGTCATACAACTCTGTTTATATGTGAGCGTACACAGTTAAATTGTGTACAATAAGACTCGACAAGATGACCCTGATAAAGATTGCACAGATGAGTCAAACATTAACCCTGGTGAAAATATTGTTTCCAAGAGTTAGTCCAGAGTTAAGCCAAGAAGGTGTCATTCACATTCACATTTTGGTGTGTTGCACAAGTTAATACTAATTTAGAGTCTAAGAAAGAAACTATTAAATCTGATGTTACGCAGCACTTGTAGATTATGCACTAAAAGCTTAAAGCGCCTTCTGGTGGACATTTAAATCTAAAATACCCTGAAGTTTGACAAATTATGTCATTGCTTGCACTTATAAGGCACCTTAAGCTATGACTTTGTTCTCCTCTGGTCTTCTGTTAAAGACACTCACAGTGGCACATGATATGGAGATCAACTTTGTTGGCGGGCAGCCACACTACATGCAAAGCCTAATATCCATCCATCCATCCATTTTCTTTACCCGCTTATTCCATTTTGGGTCACGGGGGTCGCTGGTGCCCATGTCCAGCAATCACTGTGCGAGGGGCGGGGTACACCCTGGACGGGTCGCAAGTTCATCACAGGGCCACATAGAGACAAACGAGACAAACAACCATTCACTCTCTCACTCACACCTATGGACAATTTAGAGTTACCAATCAGCCTAACATGCATGTTTTTGGACTGTGGGAGGAAACCGGAGTACCCGGAGAAAACCCACGCATGCACCGAGAGAACATGCAAACTCCACCCAGAAAGGCCCCTGGACCGGGGTTTGAACCAGGGACCTGCTCGCTGAGAGGCAGCAGCTCTACCAGTTGCGCCACCGTGCTGCCCCAAGCCTAATATTCTTCATGCCATTAGGGGGGATTTTAATATTAAATGAACTTCCAAATCATTGCTCTACAGTAACAAAAAGGTTCAATCGTGTCATCTGGATCAGTTTCTTTAAGTGAGAAACGTTTCATCCTCCATCCAGAGGTCTTCCTCAGTCTATGTCCTGCCAACCAGATCTGTCCCATAGGTAGCCTTTACTGTTGTATTTCAACTTAAAGCCAACTTCCTGTTGGAGAATCAGAGGCAGGCTTTTAACACATGCAAACAGGGCACACCCATCCAAAACAATCAGACATCATGTACAACAATCAAATGTTTTAGGTCAGATGGACAACTTGCTACTCACAGAAACAGCCTGAGGACAACCAAGGCCAAAGTGATTCAGAAAAAATGTTGTAAGCTCAATCATACAGGTAGATAACAAGATAAAAGGTTCAATTGTGTCATCTGGACCAGTTTCTTTAAGTGAGAAACATTTCGTCCCCCATCCAGAGGACTTTGTCAGTCTGCGGCCTGCCAACCAGATCTGTCCCATAAGTAGCCTTCACTGCTGTGTTCTGGTTGTCCTCAGGCTGTTTCTGTGAGTAGCAAGGTGTCCATCTGGCCTAAAACATGTGATTGTTGTTAATGATGATTTATTGTTTAGAATGGGTGTGCTCTGTCTACACATGTTAAAAGCCTACTTTTAATATTCCAACAGGAGTTTGGCTTGAAACACATCACTGAAGTTTACCTATGGGACAGATCTGGTTGGCAGGCTATAGACTGAGGAAGACCTCTGGATGGAGGATGAAACGTTTCTCACTTAAGAAACTGGTCCAGATGACGCAATTTAACCTTTTTTGTTGTTATCTACTGGGATGACTGAGCATACAACCCTTTTTTTTTTAATCTACAGTACATCCAAGGAATATTTCCTGAAGGTTTCGGTAAAGTCTAACCTGTGGGTTATAAGATGTTAAGCTGAAAACCAATTGGGGTTGACACTATTCATTAATGCTAAAGTTTTGACTGTGATGTGGATGACTCTTGGCTGCTCCCACACCAAATTGTAGCAAAGTGTCTGTGAAATAATTGTGGCTGTCATCCTGGACAGGACTGGCTCCATGAGTAAATCAGCTGTAGATGTACAGCGAATAAAACTGTCCTAAATGTTACATTACCAATCATCCATTGGTTTGTGAAATATTTTTCTTCTGACCAACAGACAGGGTTAACTTCAAGTAGGTAATGGCAAACGTTTGAACAAACATCTTGTGCTGTCACTGCTCATGGTATGTATTGAGGAACAGTCTCAGCAACTACTTCATCAAATCGTAGGTCTGTAATACATCGAGTTATAGATATTTTAGTGATTTTTTTTTTTTTAGGATTTGTTGGTTGTAGCAGCCATCTTGAATTAAGTTAATCCTAAAGGATAATTAGTTAAAGATGTATACTCAATAGTTATTTTCTGAAAAGTTCATAAAATTAATTAATTAGTTTGTAAGATATTTTGGTGACAGACAGACGCATCCTTTGCCTTTCAGTCGCGTGAAACAGGAATATATACAACAGTATAATTATAAATAAAGTTATTGCTTTTGAGTTTTACTTGCAATCCTCGAGGACAGCGATCTCATGTTTGACCTGGTGGAACTCCCTCGCCATCCTACAGTGTTCCTTGTACACCTGGACGCTCTCCTTCAGAGACATGCAAGGCAGCACTGGCTGCAGAGAGTCAGAGACAGAAACATCAAATGGATGCATTTAAATAATGTTTTTTCAAGGTGCTGAACAAAGCTAAGCAAATAATATCACATGTTCATTCATGAGACGAATCCAAAATAGTTGTACTTCATAGTCACTCTGCACTTTCATGGATTTGATACTCTGGCTCTCTCTAAGAGTACTAGAAAACTGTATCTCTTGCTGTTGGAACCTTGCAACCTTTAATGGGTCAAAGCATGGTTAAGTGGTGGACTACCTGTAAACGTTGTTCAAGATCCGGGAAGGTATGTGAAAGGTCCTCCACATCTTTGACATCTAATGAAACACATAATTTATTTAAACCTGATTAATTGAAGGGGAAAAAAAACAATAATTGATTGTCAATTTGTTGTGAATACAATTATACACACAAATGGATTTAATGACACCAAAAATGCAGCGTGGAACGTCAGTGACATCTAGTGTTAAAATTACACACAGCAACAAAATAAGGACGAAAACCCATTCTTTGTGCACAGGTCAAAGGGCAAAGCACAGATCGTTGAGCAGCAGTGCAGCATGCTCTCATATTAAAAACTTTATATAGTTAAAGAAGCATTTTGCAATGTAATGCATGTCACTTGCCAGCTTGCATACCAATGTTTTTTTAGATGATGTTTAGAGATGTTGTTTAGCATGTGAAGTATGTCTTAGGGGTGACTCTCTGCTACCACTACACCAAGTTTTAGCTTAATATTTGTAAAATAGACTCATTGGCAGCTATTTTTGTGTTTGGTATGGAAAATATCACATGAACCAGCTGACAGAAGGTGGAGAATCCTGAAATGAAAGCAGGAGAATTAGCGTGGCAGGTCTTTGGATGCGGGACCAATTATGATGTGGAATAAATACAGTTCTCGTGCTTAGGACTGACACAGTGTTGTGAGCTTAAAACTATGCCAGGCATGAAGTCACGGAGGGCTGAAAGGATGATCCCCAGATGGAGCACAGCTCTTTTTACCCAGTTGGCATTCACAAGTTTATAGAAACAACAGCACAAAAGGGAATATCCAGACTTGATTTTAGATTGAGCAAGCAGCCCTGAAACTGTAACCAAAGACCAAAAGGACATATATTAGCAATACTGGGCATAATCTCAGAGGCACCTTTGAGGGTTGTGCTATACCTCTTTTTGTTATTGTTCTCAGAAAATGACAGGAGGTGATCAGAAATAGGTAGAGAAGAGCTGGAAGTGCTAACTGCTTAACAAATCAGGCCAGTGTTCTTAAGGCTGAGCAGTGAATCAGGCAGCAACACTGTATTATAGGGGAAACCTGACTCTGCAAGTGCAAAGCTGCAGCTGCTGTCCCAGTGCCTGACCCCACTGCCAAAACACATCCTGACCAGTGGCCTCTACTTCTCTAGGTATATGTACATTAAGGAGGGGGGGATGAAAGCAACTGTTTTTATTGCAAGAATGCAGTTTCAGCATGCACACTATTGTTATCTAGGTTTTTTTTTTCTGTGCACATTTTTGCAGTCTGACTGTTTCTGCATACTTTGCTAAATCATAACTATAGGTAAATGTAATGTTTATAGTTTTCAAAAGATTTAACGTGTTTTAAAATGAATTCACCTTGAAAATATACTTTCAACTCATTCAAAATTGTTATTTTATATCTGCTTCAGCGTACTTGCTCACCATTGTTCTGCTACTTTTAGCTTCTAGTTAGCATTTTGCTACGTTTAGCTAGTTTTCCATTTCCGTGAGCCTTTTGCTAGTGTTCTGCTTTATTTAGCTTTATCGGCTCAGTTTCAAGATAACATCGATCATATCCAACAATTTTCAGTCAGGTCATCTGGACAGTTTCTTTTTTGTGCTGAAACGTTTCATCTTCCATCCAGAAGGCTTCATCAGTCAAGGAAACGCACAACACAAAACTGATTCTTCTACCAACAGCTTACTCCGAAGTGGAACAAACCAGTTATGTTGGTGCTAAGATGGTCTCTTTGGCACGCCCCGTCCTCCTCCTAACATCAATCATAGCAACATCCAAGATACTTTGTTTCTCGCATGTGTAGTTATACAGTTCCAAATCCTGCTAAAAAGTATCCCGAGCCACTGTTTTACACTCAGGCTGTGCAAATTCAAGGAACAAATAAAGATTTAGGTGGGGGAAATAATGGCAAGATTAAATCAAAACTAAATACAAGATACAAAAAAAAAATGTTTTAAGTTAGTCAGTGTGCACAATAAACCAACGAAAAACATAAAAATGATGTAAAAGCATAAAAATAGGAACATGTTTTTGGTTTAAAAGAAGAAGTAAAGTGCATTGCACAATGTGCAGCAGCAAGCTGATGGTTTGTGTGTGTGTGTGTGTGTGGGGGTGGGGGGGTGGGGGGGGGGGGGACAACATTATTGTCTGTTCAGTATTCTTTCATGTAATGGAATAAGGCCACAGGCTTGCCAGGTTGTGCCTAGTGTGTTTTGGTAGGAAGAATGTCGTACACATGTTCCACACATAGTGGAAGTGCTCTGAGAGCAGACTTCATCTGGCCATAAATCATCAGCTGAGTGATGGCTGCAGCTAAACTCAAAATACATTGTTAGCATCATTTCTGTAGGTCCTGGAACACAGAGGAATGCTGGGATTTGTTCGTGGAGGTATTTTGGTTTCTCTCTCTCTCTCGCTCATACTACTTTGTGAGGACCAGCTGCTCTTTGTGAGGACCAAAGCCCGGTTCCCATAAGGTTCAAGTGTCGTTGTTGGGTTAGGGGTTAGGTTTAGAGTTATAAACCTGGTAATGGTTAGGTTTAGTCTAAGGGTCAGGGTTAGGCTATAAAAATGAATGAAAAATGAATGGAAGTCAATGCAAAGCCCCCGTAAAGATAGTAAGACAAACAAGTGTGTGTGTGTGTTAGTGCACATTATGTACTGTATGTGCACGTGTGTTTACCTGGCGTGTCATCAAGGCTAAAGGCGATTCTAACTTCAGATTTATCCGGAGACAATCTTCTGGTTGAGGTGATCATTTATCCCTTCACGAGGGCAAAAGAACAGAAACTTCAATGAATCAGTTCCGTTAAATTAGATTTTACTGTTCTTGAGTCGATTGTCATGAAAAATAAATGCTGCTCAAATTGTACTCTAATATAACTTTAAATAGAAAGATAAACCTAACTAAACGCATTCTTGGTCACATTTCACAACATACTTTTTTTTATTTCTCAACACCCAAAGCAAACTTTTGCTCTGTGTTTTGCACTTTTATTTAGTCTTAAAATCCAACCAGAAAGGCTGTGGATGGATATGTTAGGGACTTTAAAGTCATTGTTTCATTGAATCTTTCTTACATTGTGCATTAGTTGTGCTTTTTCTACTTAATTCATAAATTTTGTTTATTTGCCATTTATGCTTTTATCCAGTTTGTTTTGTGCTTTGCACAAGATGACAATCATTTTTTCTGAGTTACAACAGTTTCTCAGTTTCATTATAAGTCCAAACAACTAAACTAAAAGTATTTTCCAATGTACCATTTAATTTTTCTTCCCCCCAATCATTTACATTTATGCTTTTTTAAACCAGCAAGAGACGTTATAATCGTGAACTCAGCAGGTGTTGCACTTCCACGGAGGTCGTCTTATAAATACACTAACTACTCATGCAGCCACAAGTTTCATTATGCATTTAGAGTTGCTGTGGGATTAAATAATTAGAGAGCTCTGACTGACTGGCTTTTACTTGCCCCCCTTTCAGCTGAGGTGGAGGCTTTTTATATCTGGACATTTGTCTGCTTTAACCCTCATGCAACGACCTTCTACACACAAATAAGAACATTATGTAATAAAAATCACTTATCTCTAGGAGAAATTGTTGATTTTTTTTATGTACATTAAGAGCATGCATTAAAATATGACAATACTGAAGTGAATATTGTCCTGTAGCATGCACTGTAAACGCACAATGAGCAGTGTGAAGAAGAATTATGTGCAAAACATTTACCACACGCACTGGAGATGTGAAAAGCATTCATCTATGCCAACATGTCATTGTTACCAGAAGCCGGATTAGAAAATTCCTCACAGTAAAGTCCAAATCCAAGCTGGATCGTACGACCTAGGGGGTCTTTCAGTGTCTCCTCGGGACCCGGTCTTTAGAAGTGCCGCAGATCCAACTAAGATGACATGAGTCTCCTCCAGAGTATCTGGATACTTTTAGTCTTTTCTTGTAGGTAATTTAAATGTTTTCCAGCTTGAGTAAAGATATCTACTTCAGTGATTGCAGCAAATTCAGACTCCAGCAGATTAGGTTGACTTGCATTTGTCCTCCACAGACTGCAGCCACGCGGTGAGAGGGCGCATGAAGGCGATCAGGGGAGAATGCTGCTGCTCTCCGTCCCCCTGAGGCGGCCACGGGCCCAATTAAATGTCTCAGATTACATGACTTTAGCCCGAAAAAATGCCCATAGCTGCAACTCTGTTTTGAGTGACACAGTCACACCGCGGGGATGGTTCTCTGCTGTGCAATAGCTGTGCAATGAGGCAGTTACTCAGAATGAACACCGCAAGTTTGTTCTTGTTAGATGAAAACATTTAGAGGCCTCGGTCCAGAGGCCCTTGACATCCACATGGGAAATAAGCAATACCTTTTCAATTGCATGCTGATGAATACTCATGAACAATGAGAGGATGATGGACACACTGTCGAAATTTTGCAACATTGCAAATGAATTTTGCAATCAAATATTTAATCCTAAACCACTCCATTCTAGCAGGACTTGTGCCTAATATTAACCATGGCAAATGCATCTTAAATACACCTAGCCTGCATTTTTTTTACATGGTCAATTTCATAAAATTAGAAACAGAGGGCTCAAAATTGAGTGTCAGTGACAACAATAGAGCACTTCTGAGGTGACAGGTGGAACCTAAACCTCTGACATCTGTGACCTAGTGCTGTTTTTGAGTGGTGACTTCATTCTAACGAGCTTTCTAAAGCCTCCACAAAGTCAAAAAGGATCCCATTTTAATCACACCGCTGTTGAAACAAGGCCAATGCATTTCAAACAACTGACAATAAGTTTACACAAAACAGGCATCTTTTGGTAATGTAACCTAATGATCCAACAGCTTAATGCAAACAGCAGTTTAATCAGAAGCGTATCCACTCCTGCAGCTGTTGAAAAGATACACAGTTAGATTTTGAATGGATATGACCTGCAAGGGAGGAATTATTCTACCAAAACCCAGTGGCATACTGTGACTGTAGAGATAAGCCTTATACTACAATGGTTCTTAAACTTCTCAGCTTAGTCTTAGTAACTGACATGGAATTTTTGGTCAAAGATTATGGATTTTTTTTATTGCTGAGAACGCTCTTCCCCTCTGCCATGAGAACAAGAAGTCTATAACAAGCTGAACCGTCTCCCAAAACGCTATCTTATCTCTGCCCATGAACCATACGTTTGAGTAGAGTGCTTGGTAAAAGGACTGAAGCTGACTTCAAGGACACCCCTGAGCTATGTTGAACTCTGAACTGAGAGGACTATAAAAGCAAACAAATAATGTGGTTCGTGGCTGATTCTGTGACAATGTCCTCATACATATGCATTCATTTATCTATGTATGTAACATGTCCTGAATGCAGTTGTTACAAATGTCATGTTTTCTGCCTGGTCATGCTCTGCTCCCAAGCTCTGCCACTCTGCCACTCCCACTCTGCACCTCAGCTCAATCATGCTCATGTCCTGTATCTGTTCCATACACTACTTAAGAGCGCTTGTCACCCAAGCTCCGCCAGATTATCAAACCCTTTGTGGAAGTAGATGTCCAGCGTTCTTGTCACAGATCTATCTGATCATGTCTCAACCTCACACCTGTCTTCTGGAAACCCAACTTGCCTGCTCCTTGCCTCTTATTGTATCATCTTTCTGACCACATTACTGACCTCCTCTTCTAACCCAACGACTACGACTCATGGATCACCCTTTTGAATTAATTATTGGATCTCTGACACCCTGTATATGACCCCCACCTCCATGCCTGGTTCTAGCCTCTGGACTTCCCTTTGGATCACGTCAATCTCAGCCCTGTTCTTCAGCTGCGTTTAACCCAGTGACGGTAACGTCATCCTTCCCAGCTCCAACAGGTGACCCTCACCTCACCTGCATGAGAAGATTGGGCCCATATTACTGCCACCAGCAGCCGTTTGACAATAAACTTTTTACAACATTCTTTCTGTCTGGCGTCTTGCTCTAATCCAAAAACCCAACCCTTTTCAATAAATGAGTTAAATTTAAAGCAGTCTGCTCCTCAGATAGTTTTAAATTATTATTTTTATGTATGTTTCTGTTCAGTGCCCTGAGATGACTTCTGTTGTGACTTGGAGCTATAGAAATAAACTGAATTGAAATGCTGGTTCAATAAATGCTGGTTTGCTGTGGGGCTGAGCTGGGGTAGAGTTAGGGCAGCCGATTTACAACTGACTTGCAGAAAGTCACAGTTTGTCTCCCAGCTGTTCCCTCATGAATTGTAAATGAGTCCTCGGGGCTCAATGAGATTTACCTGTCTAAATAAAGATTGAATGAATGAATGAACATGTCGTGGTGTCTCTGCACAAGACATCTAATCCCTAATTGCTCCCCGGGTGTTCAGCTTTAATAGCTGCCCACTGCTCCACCTGGATGTATCCCAGGTGTGTTGGGTTAAATGCAGAGAACTAATTTTGTCATCAGACTTCCCTTCCCTTAAAATCTTCCAGTGAGAGTGGTTCTTATAAGTACTGTAATTAACGCCAGAGAACAAGAGAATTTCTCCAACAGTAACAACAATATTTTAAAAAAGTCATTAGCAATCAGTTTTGCATTTAATTTGATTTCTGGAGATTATCTGAAGACGCACTTGTGCTTTGGAACTCAGTCACAAACGTCACCATATTCCTGTGACGATCACTCTCATTTGTGCTTAACCTGTACATTTCCTTTAGGAAATGGTATGGCATTTTATAAAATTATCATAAAACAGACAATTGACTTTTTGTTTAGTTTGATTTGAAGAATTAAGTGAGTATGTCTATCTAACAAGGTTGAGTCAGGTTCTCAGTTGACGAGCTTAAATAAATGATATTCTGGATGGGTTCTTCTTTGTTGAAATGTTTCTTCTTTTATCCAAAAGACTTCTTCAGTCATCAGACTTCACTACTCCAGAATGAAGAAGTCTTTTTGGATAGAAGACGAGATGTTTCAACAAAGAAGAATCCATCCAGATGATTATTGAGCATCAGGATAAATTTCTATATTTCAAAGGTGCACTACACATGTATGCCAGCAGATGACAGCAGTCACACTGAATCATTTACAGTTAAGCCTTCATGTGGTGGAAAGTGGAAGAAAAGCCACACAGAACGAGGAACAGACACAGAGAGTTAAAAGATGCTCTGCACTTCTAAAAGTCCTCCTCCTCATTTGTCTTTGTTGACAGGCTGGTGACACAGACCTGCCTTATCACCCTCAGGGACTCTTCATTTCATTTCATTGTGACAGATGGGACAGACTGAAATGTCTGGCAATATTTTTACTGCTTCAGTCATATTGTGAATGTATTTCTCTGTAGTTGTTTGTACAGTTGGCAGGCCTGTGGAGTGGTTTACAAACTAAAGTTGACGAGCTTAAATAAATGATGTTCTTTTTATAAATAAAAAAATAAATAA